AGAGATAACATATTTCACCTATAACACAGTAATTCCCGTTCCCATAAGGTATGTTATAACAAAGTTACACTGTATTTTGTTGTTTTTACTTTTGCAGCTGTTATAACATAACATGGGTAAGTATTGTAATTATATCATATTTGATACTCCATGTTTTTGCAGTAAAAAAGTAAAAAAAAACCTAAAAAAGTAAAAAAAAAAATTTCCAGGATGGATATATTGGCATCTAGTTCATTTAATATCTCAGAATTGGGTAAAGATTAAGTAAGGAAATTTGGCATAATAACTTTTATATAAAGAGCATTGATGCTATTAAATTTTGGAATATGGAACTTGAGGGTATGATTGTATACCTATAAATTCCCTCTGTCATCTGTCCTTCCTTAATCTTGAGAATAGAGTTAGATAGATGAAAGACGAGACCAGATATGGAAACTTTAGGTGAAGGAGGCCTCGATTAACTATATATATGAACTTCTGATGCAAACCAGAAGTCACATTATTTTAATTCAAAAATTTTCCCCTGAAAGAATGTTAGATAGATGTCTGACACTACTCTATTGTTAAAGGAAAAGTATGATATACAGGGACAAGTCACTACTAATTTGAAGTGTTGAGAATGTATTTTAAGTTAAATAAATTAAAAATATGATTAAAAATTGGAGCCTGGCATTGTGACGATGTTGCAATAAATAATTGCTTGTTGGCATTTACAATATTTTTTGTCATACTATGATATAAAATTTAAGTAATAACTGAAAATTATTTGGACTTCCTAATAGCTCCATTAACCTCTTGTTGAACAAGTTGGGAAAGTTGAACAAGAGCCTTTGCCAGCTTTTCTCTTAAATACATTCTAGAAAATTTCTTTATTGAATACATCTTTTGTTTTGAAATGTTGTTTAAATACTTTGTTGTCATACATTTGAAGTAAAATAGCTAGAAAAATAAGCAGGGATTAGATACAGGCCTAGTACAGCATGAAAATAATATTCTAGAGACAGAAGGTGAGCTGATTTTACAAAATAGTTTTGTAGAATTTGCAGAGTTTCAAACTGAAACAAAGTGATTCGTGAAATATTTTGGATCTTTCCAGCACCTATGAAATCCGATATCTTCCAATAACATAACATACTTAGATAATGAATCAGTAAACAGACAAAAAAGTTCCACTAAATTGTTGGACTTGGTTGAAAGTTGTGGTGTATGACCATTGTGGAACAAAGATTCATTGACACACAGGATGGATTAATGAGAGATTTTAGTGAACATATACAGATGTTAATAATAAGCAACAACATTAATGAAACCATGCAACTCAGTTAATTTAACTGTAATAAGATTTAAGATTATAATGTAACACAATTTCAAATTTTTCCAATTTATACATATTGTGAGAACCTGGGCTAGTGCAAATTATTTAATTAGTAAAAACCCAATTTAAATTTATACTTTTGTTTTGTTAAAAACCCATAAAGGAGAAAAGTTCCATGTCATAAATACAATCAAGGAACTTTATAAATTTTTCCCACAGATAGCACTTTTTCCGTGTGACACAACTTCTGAATAGGTAACTAGAAACAAAATCATGGATTGGAGCAATTGACAACTTCACCAAAAATGAGCATTAGAATTCCTGGGGAAGGACCCTGAATAAAAGGAAAAAAGACAGATGATGAAGAGAGTTCACCTATCAAAATTTGTGTGTGCTTATCCCTGCCATGCTTGACCTCCTGCCACTTTCATTGGACCCTAGCTGCTCCGAACTAATGATCAATCAATCAAAATCCACTGTGAATATTACTATTACAGTCTTTTGAATTCAAGACCTATCAAAACAAGCAGGAGATTTTGGATTCCTGGATCGAAGGAGTTGGTTTTAGACATCCTGAAGGATGTCTAAAACCAACTCTCACCAATCCAGATATTTACTGACATGTGTCCAAATTTGTAAATGAGAATATTATAGACTCTTATAGAATAATTCTTCCATTTATGTTACATTTGTAAATTAGCAATGACCTTTAGAAATAAATTGTTTTTTCATGTTTCGTTGCATAGTGGAGTGCATTATTTCTGGATCTCCCTGTCTCTCTAACTTTCCCTCCTCCATCTGCCCACATTCATCCCCATATGTAGTGGCTCATGCATGTTCCACAAACATGCTGAAAAATACAATCTGAAAAATACAATCAAAGAAAAGGTTTCTGTGTTTGCCAGAAAAACAAACACAGTGTCACAGGCATAATAGGGGGCACTTCTCAGATTCCATAATATTTTCAAAATCATCTTTGATAAATTTAGTAAATAAGGAATCATTCAAGTGTTACATCAGTAAAAACTTTCCTTTTTTTCAATCCCTCCTCCCCATAAACTGCTGAGATAATATTTGAATGGTTCCTAATCTAGCAAATAGTGTTTCCCATTACAGATATTCATTTCTATCCACAATAAAAATAAAATGAATAAAAAAATAGTATATTTGAAAGTCAATATTTATAATCCAATGTGTATTTAATTGTATTTCAGATAAATTTAACAATGTTTATTTTATTTCTATAAAACTTGGCAGTGCCTGGAAAAAATTAATATATTTATTAAGCAAAAATATCAATTATTGCTTTAATAAGTTTTGTAACTGGAGAATGTGTATTATACCATGCTGTTCTTAAAATGTGTGATGGTTCAAATGTTTGTAATTTGTTTTTTCCTCACATCATGGCAATGAGTGCCAGTATGCATAAATAATTGATTAAAAATAACAAAGAAATTTAAATTATGAATTTTTTCATATAATATTTAAGTATTCTGTATTTTAAATAATAAAATTGCAGTTAAACTTGCCTTTTTTTAAATAACTTTTACAAAATACCTTTCTCTTTAGTTAGTATTTCCATTTCCTTTGCAACTTGGTCTGACCATGAAGCAACAGCAACATGAAGACCATAATCACAACAAACTTTGTCATCAGCCCAACCTCTCCATTTTTTGTAGCTATCCAACAAAGAAGCATCCTTCTCTGCTACAAAATCCACTATAAAAATCAAAATGATATTAAAAATTATAATTTTATATGCATTATTTTTAATGGATCCAAAAATAATAAGTTAAAGAACAAAATCAATTTTAATGTGTAAAGCATGAAAACTTGATTCAAAGCAAACATACTAATCATAGTAGTGCCTCCTGCCAATGCTGCTCGTGTTCCAGAATAAAAATCATCAATAGTTACTGATCCCATAAATGGGAACTGGAAATGAGTATGAGGATCAATACCCCCTATTTAATTCACATAAATTATTAATTTAGTAAAAATAACATATATATAATATATATATATAAGTAATAACAATTACCTGGAATTACATAATTTCCATTGGCATCTATGATTCTTGTATCTGAAGACACTTTTAGATTCTTACCAATTTTTCTAAAATTTAATATACCATTATTATTAATCACAATTGTATATTTTTAAAATTACAAAACTTACTCAATAATCCCATTTTCTATATAGATATCTCCTTCAGATGAAGCATCATCATTTGTAATTATACCATTTGAAATCAGTAATTTCTGAAAATATTTAAAATGAAAAAGTTAAAACTATGATCTATGGTGTTTTGGACTTGTCATAAATATATATATTGCACATCTACACTGTAAAAAAAGTTATTATATCCTAAAATCTCCTTGCCCACCTGTTTTCCCACCCTGAAATAATTCAAGTCTACCTAAGCTGACTATTGGGGAAGTTTCTTTAAATATGAACTGATTGCTAATGAAATAATCACATGTTCTCACTAAATACTTTTTTACACTTATATATGTGAAGTTAAAGTGAGAATATTGTTAACTGACGAACACTGAATAAAGAACCACTCACAGCAGATGGTGGAACAAAGTATTTATTTTTGCAGAAAAGATACAGGTTCTTAAGGATTTCAACTCAAAAACAACAAATAGTAATAGTAACATGGCATCACCCACAAATCCAAAAAGTCGGTGGAACTATGACAAAATATTGTGAGGTATACAAGGAACTGAGCTCAGGTAATGCAATAACTAATCCTTAAAACTAACATACTAAAGAAGATGGAAGTCAGAAAGGATAGGTAAGATAGTTAACAGAAAAGAATTGAATACCCGGGATGTACGAACGTTACACAACTTCTGTGAGAGGCCATGTGGAACTCTCTTGGACTGATTTTTAGTTGCCATCTTTCTTTTTCTACATTTGACACGCCCTGTGTTGTGACTTCAATAAGTTCATAAATCTTTCTCACACCAGTTCAATTTCACCAGTCTCGCTGATACTTGATGACACTCAGCATCCATCTCCGTCTTTACTTCATGAAGGCCAGCCAGGAAAAGTACTCTCTCTCTCCAAATGTGTCCTCAGGTAGCCTTCCTCTCTTTGTTCGCATGGTTCCACAAATTGGCTCTCACAACCCAAGGGAAAAGAGTAGGAATAGAAAGTTCTAGGAGAAAGAACAAAGAATGAATGAAAGATGAAAAAACTATAACTAAGCAAAAATTATACTATGGAGTACAGCCACATATGTCTTCCTGAAAATCAATTATCAAATTTTAAAAATTAGTTTGACAAAATGTGCAATTAACACTTGCCTCACTCAATCTCACCTTTGCCTTCCCAGAATGAAAATCCTAGCACCATTACTCTGATGATCATAGATAGTAAGACAAACTGAATAAAATTATATATTCATTTCAATAAATTACATTTTTCTAAACAATCTTTCAATCTTCATTGTGCATGTTATAACAATATGCACTAATGACAAATAAAACAGCAATTTTTCTAAAACATCTAATTTAATACTAGCATAAAAAGTTGTCAGCAAAATTTAGATGTTAATTAAGAAGAGAATTCATAAAATTTCTGTTTATTAGGAAACGTTCAAAGCACCATTTAGCTCTTGGGGCAGTCTCTTTCCTTTCCTTGATACCTCTTTGTATAAAATATTTGAATTTCTGAATATAATAATTCAGTCGTATAGGTATAAATTTTAAAAAAGATGCTACTTTAAATTACAT